TAAAATTTCCTCAGTGATAGATGGATCATGGTTTAAAATCCCCTTGTCGTCTGGCTAACCATGGGTTGTTTTCATGGTTTTGCCTATCCATGTAACGTAAATGCGGATCAATTCCATCTAAAAGTCTTCCACGACGTTTAGTTTGTCCCAATGCTTAGTCCAAAATTTACCTTTTCTTCTGGATAAGGTTTACAATTACAAGACTACGGAGTTGAACCTTGATGGTCGAAAACTAAAAACTGAGTCGGCTGTTTATGGCCGGTTGTGGAATAAAATATAATTAATTTAAAGTTTTATTTATGATTTTAAGTGATTTGCAGTTCATCAGCATGTTTCTACTGACTTATCAATTCATAGAAGTAGAACTAAACATTCGTTGAGTACCAGCAAATTTCTTGAAAAACAATTTTAATGCGGGATTTCAAACTTAGAAAACCATTTATCTTTAAGAACACCCTAGAAAGTCAAACCATTGATGATAGTATGATGATAAAAAGGGTATAATCCAATTTAAAGCTAACTTAAGTATTTTAAGAGTATATAGTTCACACTAACAGTAATGGATCTTTATTTCGAAAATTACATTTGTATAAAAATTATTACACATAAAAACTAACAAAAGGTAGTTTTAATTTTTATAATTTTAAATTATAAGAACTTTACATGAAAATTATAAAAAGATGGTGCATTTTGGAATTTTAATTACCTATTACGTTATGAAATTAAAAATAGTTAAAGAATACGCAAGCTGCAAAATCAAAAATATGCCTTTTTTTAATTTTTTTATGTAACTAGCCATAAGAAAGAGATATACTCAGACACGAAAAATTTGTTTAAAAGGTATGTCTATGGTTAATTTAATACAAAACATTTAATCTTTTTTAAGAAAAAAAACTTGGTAAATGTAAAGACATATTTCGATATTTCTTTGCGTCATGACACGGTCTAAAAAAGAAAAGAACTTAGAAAAAAGAGAAAGAAGTTCTTTTGAAACTTTTTAATAAATTCATTGTTAAAAAAGTAATTTAACATTCGGCACTGTAATTAAACTCCACCAAGTTTTTCAATTTAAGATCTGAAATTACAGTATGAATAACAAAAATATTTGAACGTGTTTTTATTCATTTTAAAAACCTTTTACTTAACGAATCATAAAAAGTACTTAAATGCAACAAGCGTTAAACATTTTATGTATTGTTAAATTTATATTTTAATTAGGTAAAAAGTTATTTTTTATGCAAAAACTTTTTTATAAATCTAAATAAAATATATTAAAGTTTGTTTAATTTTTCGCTTCTTTTAAGAGTTAGCAATTACCTGGTAAACTTTATTTGAAATTTATTTGCTATTTTTTGAAAGTTGCTAAGAACAACAACTTTTCAATCCTTGTTAGAGTTTTTATAGTTCAGAACTAAATGAGCAGTTCCAATTTAGTATTCAGTTTCATTTCAACCGACAAATAAGTTACTTCAATCAATATATTACTTTTATTTCTAAATATTTTAGGTTCAGTTCTATTTAAAGTGCTGAGATTTGGTTAAAGTAAACATCTGAAGGTTAAAAAAGAAATTTTTTCTTAGTTAAAATTATTGATATTTTTTTTTAATAAAAGTAAATCATCACAAAAAAGTGGTGAAATCATTTACAAGGTCAAATTTCTGATACGTATGAAAATATTCTCATTAATACCGCTTGATTATGCTTAATGGGGGTATAAAGAATTACTCCCACATAAGCTAAGAATGGAGTATAAGCATGCTAATGTGGCATAAGCAAGCTAATGGAGGTATAAGCATTCTAAGATCATAGATAATTTTCATGCTGGAAAAAACTAGAAACAAGCGACAACTTCAACATACACCGAAAAGCTATTACATTATGACCACCCTGCTAATAACATGTAGAACCACCTTTAGCCCTCAAAACTGCTAGCCACCCGCCGTGGCATTTATTCCTCAAGGTGCTGATACGTAGTCTGAGGTATCTGGTACCAAGCGCTCACCAACTGGTCCTGCAATTCCCTCACATTGCGGGAGGGGGAGGTAGAGTGACAGTACGAATTTAGTTTTCCATGTAGGACCACAAATGCTCTATTAGATTAAGGTCAGGTAAATTTGGGGGCCAGGACATGACTTGAAAGTCACTGGAATGTTCCTCGAACCAATCAATGACTATTCGACCTTTATGACATGGTGAGTCATCCTGTTAGTAAACACCATCCCCCGCAGGAAAAAGTGTTGCCATGAATGGGTGAACCTGGTCTGCAACTATGTTCAAGTAGCTTACAGACGTCAGGGATTGTTCTATGAGAATTATGGGTCCTAATGTGCCCCACGAAAACATTGTTCCTGGGCGAGAAACCATGAAACCCTGAGCGAGCCCATTGTTATAGATGGAGGGTGGTAATAATGTAATAGCTCTTCGGTGTATATCTCGAATCACTGCTTTTTACAATTCTTGTTCATTCTTGCATGCGTTTGTTGCTCATTTTTGACATAAAATACACAATTAGACTTTTTTTTAAATTATTATTAAAATCAACGGTAGCAGTCTATTCATCCGATTAAACATAAATCTTATGATTAGGAACATTATTTACCTTTACAGTTTTGTAACCGTTTACAACTAGCGTGGTTAAAAAACCATGAATTAAAAACTATCTGGTTTCGTAACCATTTACTACTAGCATAGTTTCCAACTCCTAAAAAAGGAACTTAAACGGATTTTGGAACTCTGTCGGTTCTGCGCCATTTATACGTGAATGATAGTTTCTTACTGAAATAGTCCAGGATCAACGACTGAAGGGTGAAGGACACTGGAAACGCTCCTTGAAGGAATAGAAGAAATATTTTAGCATCAACTATGGGATTCGAACTCCCGCTCAGCTGGTCAGGATAGAATTCTGGTTCTTTAACAGTATTAAGAAAAAAAAGGAGTCAATAAGCGTTTTATCTTTCACTTAGAGTTTTGAGTAGCATCTGTTTTATGATTATTTTAGTTCAATATGGTAAAATAACAATTAATAACAATTCGCTTTCTGGCTCTGAGTTTTGATCAAAAAAAATCTAAAAGCATGACATAACGTTTTCAAAAAGTTATTCCAACGCGTTGTGTATTTACCTAAAGTAAAACCATCTGATGAGTCAAATTTTGGCTGGAAAATACTTCAACATCCTCCATATACCATAGATATTTTTACCATTGTATAATATGTAACACCTGTAAGGAGATATTGGAGGACGTCGGTTTCATTCGGATGATAAAGAGCAGAGCACATACGTTTTTCTGCTCTGATTGTCCTATCCTTTTTCACAAAACTTATCGCCTTTCCGTTACTTAAATGCACAAACACTTTCAGCAATTTCTTTCGAATAAAACCAAATTCTATGATCACTTTACACCGAGTTTCAATTTTCATTTGACGTATAATACCACAAAACTGGAGAGAAATTAAATTTTTATATTCACTTTACGCAAAACATTGCTTGACTCATAAATAAAATAAGACAGTTCCTTTGTCTGAATATAAATATAGTAAATCTGAGGAACACTTTTGTCATTTGAAGATATATTAATCCCGAAAAAAATTATATTTTTCTTCTTTTATATTACATTTTGCTTCGAAGTTACATTCTATAAACGAAATTCTGTAATACATGTAAATCATGCATTGTTAGAATTTCCACTCCAAAATTAAGTGAAAAACTTTGAATGAAATATTAAAATAACTGGCAACAATCTTTCCATCCAGTTAACCATAGAATTTATGGCTAAGAATATTTTTTACTTTATGATTTTAAAATGATATGGTTGAAAAATCGTGAATAAAAAAGAAGCGATTTTGGACCATTTACAGCTAGATTTGTTTGAAAACCAAAAAAAGAAATTTAATTGGACATTAGAGACAGTTTAGCATCTTTATGGTCCTTCCATATCTGCGTGAATTAGAGTAATGTATACTATTGAGCAGGGTCACAAATTTGGGTGAGCCGGGCATCGGAATGTCTTCGTGTTTTATAAGAATGGAGGAAATATTGAAACGTAACGCTGGGACTCGAACCCCCGTTCTCTCGGTCATGTGACTGACCGATTAGCCCTCTCGGCTATAATATGTACTCAGTTTCAAGGAACTAAGTGACTTCCTTAAATGGATGCGATAAAATTCTGGCTGTTTAACAGTATTAGGTGAAAGTAGTTAATAACACAATTAGTAGTGTGAATACCATCTTACTTATGGTTATTTAACTGTTCTGTTTGAATATGGTAAACTAAAAATTAAATAAATTGTTACCTAACCATTTTTTTCCTGAGAAATTTCTAACAGTGAGCATAGTATCTCTTAAACATCTTTTTTGAAGCATATTAAATCAACGTTAATTTTCTTTCTTTTTAAAAAAACACAGAAATTTCTAAAATAGACAAAATAATTGAAAAGCTCTTTCAAGGCGCCTTTTCCGCCACGCCGTTCGCACAACCACAATCTGTTTATAGGGTGGGTCACATTCACACACAAAGGAGAAAGGACAGAGAACACCCAGAGAGGGAAAGAAACATCCATGCCTTGCCCGGGATTCGAACCCAGGACCTTTCTGATGCAAGGACAGTTCCCTGCCCCCTACACAGCCCCGTCGGCATAATAAAGAATAACAATGTTATATAGAGTATTAACTTGCTTAGAATATCGCTTATATAGCACATATAGTTGATTTAAATTTCAGTTAGAGTGTTATAAGTTTAAAAGTTGCTAATTAGTTCAAATATATTAGGTTGATAATTAATTGTTTACTTGTTTATAAAATTTATCTTTATGCTAATTTCAGTATGTCTATTAGTATTTTCTTATTTTGTGCAGTATTGTATTGATAAAGAGTTATTAGGTATTGATTTATAAGTTTTTAAAATTCTTAAATATTATAGTTTAAGCATAATTGATAATTTTTTTCGAATAGAATAGATAAGAATAGAATAGAATGGAATGGAATGGAATGGAATAGGATGGAATGGAATGGAATAGAATGGAATGGAATAGAATGGAATGGAATAGAATAGAATGGAATGGAATAGAATGGAATGGAATGGAATGGAATGGAATAGAATGGAATGGAATGGAATGGAAGGGAGTAGAATGGAATTGAATGGAATGGAATAGAATGGAATGGAATCGAATGGAATCGAATGGAATGGAATCGAATGGAATGGAATCGAATGGAATGGAATAGAATGGAATGTAATGGAATTGAATGAAAATGGAATAGAATGAAAATGGAACAGAATGAAAATGGAATCGAATCGAATGGAATTGAATCGTATGGAATGGAATAGAATAGAATGGAATGGAATGGAATGGAATGGAATGGAATGGAATGGAATGGAATAGAATGGAATGGAATGGAATAGAATGGAATGGAATAGAACGGAATGGAATGGAATAGAATGGAATGGAATAGAATGAAAATGGAATCGAATCGAATGGAATTTAATGGAATGGAATAGAATGGAATGGAATAGAATGGAATGCAATGGAATAGAATGGAATGGAATAGAATGAAATGGAATAGAATGGAATGGAATAGAATGGAATGGAATAGAATGGAATGGAATGGAATGGAATAGAATGGAATGAAATAGAATGGAATAGAATGGAATGGAATAGAATGGAATGGAATAGAATGGAATGGAATAGAATGGAATGGAATAGAATGGAATGGAATAGAATGGAATGGAATAGAATGGAATGGAATAGAATGGAATGGAATAGAATGGAATGGAATAGAATGGAATGGAATAGAATGGAATGGAATAGAATGGAATGGAATAGAATGGAATGGAATAGAATGGAATGGAATAGAATGGAATGGAATAGAATGGAATGGAATAGAATGGAATGGAATAGAATGGAATGGAATAGAATGGAATGGAATAGAATGGAATGGAATAGAATGGAATGGAATAGAATGGAATGGAATAGAATGGAATGGAATAGAATGGAATGGAATAGAATGGAATGGAATAGAATGGAATGGAATAGAATGGAATGGAATAGAATGGAATGGAATAGAATGGAATGGAATAGAATGGAATGGAATAGAATGGAATGGAATAGAATGGAATGGAATAGAATGGAATGGAATAGAATGGAATGGAATAGAATGGAATGGAATAGAATGGAATGGAATAGAATGGAATGGAATAGAATGGAATGGAATAGAATAGAACTAAATAAAGTATATAAATAAATGTAGAACATATGATTTACAAGACATTTGATTTACATTAATTACATACACTAAATTGAAATTTAACAAATAATTTGAAAAAACAAATCATTGCAACGTTAGGTCAATTATTGTTTCAATAATGTAACATATATTTTTATATATAATAATATCGCAGCATAAATTGTTTTATACGTATAACCGAAACTTTACTTAATTTAACAATTAGTCTATGAACGAGAATTTTATCAAACAAAAAAGTAAAATTTACTTAATATAACCTCTGTGTAAACTGATCACATGTTTCCCAATTTCTAAATGCAATATACAGTAAAGATAAAATAAATGTTTTCTCTGCTTTATGTTACCGCNTATATATCTGTATGCATATATAGTATTTAATTATTTTTGAAGTTCTCTAACTAGTTATACGAGAATTTTTAACATCAAGTTTGAAAACATTAAAAAACTTTAGGAGAAAGGATAACATCCACAAATTTTGATAGTTATTGCTCAATTTGTAGCTTTTCAAGTCAGGAAAAAGATTAAGCCAAATATTTATTGGGATGATGGCAAGTATCTCTAATCATTAAACATATGTACCGTTATTTAAAAATAGTTAAATAAATCCATTTTTTCTATAGCGAGCTATTTAGGGGTTGACGTTTCAATGAATTTATAAATATCAGAAAAAGTTAAACAATTTGGGTGTTTGTTTTTAACGATATAATTTGGTTAAACTTTAAAATACATACAAAAAAGGATATTCAATCTTAAAAAGAAAAATATTTTTTCTCCAAATTCACTTATTCCATTTCAAAGAATATAGCTCAGTTACTTCAATGCTCACTTCTTGAAGCATGTCTGTAGGCTTATTATTTTTATAGTATTTTGTATCTTCTTAAAGAAACCAACAAAATCTTCCAACACGCAACATAATATTTAAAAGGTAATCTGGTCATAGTGCATAAACAGTTAATTTGAAAAATAAAGATTCAAGAACCGTCTAGTGTTAACAGTTCCTGAAGTCATCAGTAGCCTGAACCAAAAATATAAGAAATTTCAAAAGAGAAGTAGCTTTATACCACAGACAGTTGATTCGAAATACAGAAACTCAACAGTAATTTCTCGACATATGGTCACCAATTTGTGAAAAGTTAAAAAACTTCATATGATAAATAATTTTGAATCATAGTCAAATTTGCGTGCTCATATAACATTGTAATTGCAGCAATACATCATCGAGAACTATTTTTTTTTTATTTTTTGAATTATAATAGTCTAAATACAGTTTTATATATGTATTTAAAAACAAGAACAAGAACCAAAATGGGGCTGCGGTTATTGTAATAGGCTCATATTCTATTCCCGGCAGTGACTAGAAAACCCCAGTCAACTATATATCAATTGCTACAAGCAAGTCAAGAAAGTAAAGATGGCCTTGCGCAACAATGAACCCATTTTATCATGTAATTTGACTCGAAATTATGATGCATTTTCTATCCTAATCCCCCTTGGCCATCACCGGCTATTTCTAGAGTGCTTTACTTATCTATATTTCCTACTTTGAAAGTGACATCTAACAGAAAAAAGGAACAAATTTTAACAAACAAATTAAAGTGCTAATTAAAGTGCTATTTTAACAAACAGTTAGAATGTGCATACGAATAATGAACTATTTCAATATTTCAATATATTTTTTAATTCAAAAATAACACATACACAAAATTTCAAGACTTTGTATAACATTAAATTCGAGTAACTAAAAAGCTTACCTTATCTATTAGAGAAATTTTAACAGGAAGAATTTCCATTCCTCGTAATTCCATACATTTCATAAGGAGATCTGACAACTTCTAGTTAATACGAATGCTTCAATAACATAACACTAATTGAAGTTGGAGGAAACATATTGTAATTCTCAGTGGATTGTATATCTTAAATACAGTATCGAAATAATACAAGTTCAGCCATTCAACCATTCATTTTATAGTTAGCATCTATACTACACAATAGGCTTTCATATTATTGTACGAAATATTATAGTTTTGTACTATTAAAAGTGTAATGTCAGAGTAGCCACTTTACAGGAAAAATTATAAACTGATAGAAACAAAATGCTTTAATTAATTGGCATCAACCAATAAAGTATTTAAATTAAATACCAGTGTTATAATTGACCATCTCAATTCTTAAAGTTGACGTAAAATTAAAGCCTATAAAATTTACGATAACCTCTTAAAACAATAGTCACAACTTTTTAAGTTCTTTCCAGACTTTAGCTTTCCCCAATGTTTACTTATTATGCACACACTAACTTGAAAAAAAGTTGTAGCAAATACTTTTTACACTGGCCTTTGAAAACACAAAATGGTAACATGTTGAACAGACGTATAAAGTTAGATAAGGGTCAGATGGTGTAAAGTATTCATACATCAAATTAAAAACTAATTTCTGCTGGTTTTTATTTTAGCTTTTAGTAGTTATTAACGAAATTAAATAATAAAAATACATTTATAACCATATTTTAGCAAAAGGAAAACAAATGTTTTGTTCTTTCATGTAGTATCAAAGAAAGATTAAGTAAAATGAAAGAGCTTTATATTTTTATACCACACTTTGCTTAATTAATTTTTTACCAAAACAGAAAAAATTCCAAACACTTTTCAAGACTGTTTTATCGTTAGCTACTAACGATATGAAGCAGAATAGATAAAATTAGATAAATTTTGCTCTTTAAGAATTTTTTTAACATACAACGGATAACAATGAGTCTTAAGATTGAGTGTTGAGGAATGAAGCGATTCTTCTAGTTTTTAAAAAAATATAACACAAAACATTTTTTGTTTAGTTTTATTACTTTAAGCGGATTATTCCTTTAATATCTTCCAGAAAAAATTATATGCATTTCAATATTTTAATTAGGATAAGTTGAACACTAGCTAAAAAGAAGGTATGATTAATATAATTAATTCCGGAGGTTTTTTGTATTTTTTATAAATAATAATTAGTTAAAAAAGGGTTCAGCGAATGTTCATAATTCCTGTCATGCTTTTTCAACGTCTATCTTCGTTGCGATTATATGGGAACAAAACAGAAAACAGTTTAAGAGACAAAGACACTAGTTGAAATTGTTAGTTAAAAATCAGATAAAACAATGAAAGATTGAAGATCTCGCTTGTTCACCTATTTTTCCACAATAAAACAGAGGGCCTTTACTTCAGATACTGATCACTGCTAGACCATTATTACCTAGGTTAGCAGCTTCACCGAAGGCTTTGTATGCTTGTAATCTTAAGGAACCCGCAAATAAAACCCATTTGTATCGATGTGGAGACTTTATTTGCTACACTGAGAAATTGTCCGATATTGATGTGAAAAAACTGTTTCAGGCAGTGGCTTCGGTTTTTTCTGTCTCTGTGCCTTTTTGTTTTTGTTTTTTTGGTTGGGGTTGTTTTACAAATGTAAAAAAAAAACTATTTCTATAAAAAAAATATTTATTTTAATAAAACTTTTGTTTTTATCAATTCTTAAAGTTATTTTTGAATATTTACCTTTTTTTAAAACTTCGCTATGAATACTATCTCGTTTTTATAAAATGTCTGACGTAAAAATGCATGCATACCGAAACAAAAAAAAAATCAGAAATTCTTTTACATCAAGCATTTTTACAAGCATTGAACTTAAAAACATGAAATAAGAAAAGAAAAAAAAAACAAATTCTATTACAAAATACCACGCATTGTTTAATCTGACAAATTTTTGTATTTTGTTTACAGAGACGGAAGTTTTTGATGGGTTGATTTCGTTTAAAAAGTGAAAGATTACGTCAACTGTAAGTAAGTAGAGCGACATGACAACAACCGAACATTTTTCTCTGTACGTTTCCATGGAAATAGCCTTAGCTGAAGAAGTAAAAAGATAAAGAAAAAAACCTCTCTATGAAAAACAAATAATAAAAAAAATCTATCGTTGGAAACCTGTGTTTTTAGAAAAGACGACTTGTGTCAGAAAAAATCTAATTGACCGTGACATTTATTAGTCATAAAATAGACAAGGAATTGTTGTTATTAAATAGGAAGTGATTTTATATACAATAGAGATTAGGATATGCAACCAAAATTTGTGTTTTGACACATTCTAATTGACGTCTGATAAACTCTGATTAATTAGTGTTCAATATTGCATATACATCTTAAAATAAGAGTAAAAGCAAGGAATGTGTTTTTATGCGCGTATCAAATAAAACAGAATTGAAAGAAATAAACCTAATATATAATAAATACAAGCGATATAAAACATTTAAAATTTTGAGCTTTAATTTTTTTAACCAAAACTTTAACTTTTTTTAACTAAACAAACACCTAAGTAAATTTTAATACACTTTTGTTAATTAAACATAAAATACTATTTTAATAAATTTATTTTTATAAGATAATAAAAAGGAATAATGTAGATAGGTAAAATGAAACGTTAGCATAAAATGTAACATCTTTTAGAGTACACGCCTATCAGTAAAAAATGCATTTTAAAAGATTCTGGGATATAAAATTTAAAAGATTTTGAGAATAGTACTATATAAATGAATACATAATTGATTGGTAAGAGAATAAAAATATAATAGTATAATAAAAATATAATATAAAAAATATAATATAAAAATATAATAAAATTTATTAAAAATATAATATAAAAAATTAATTGATAAGAGAATAAAAATAATAACGGAGTTGTGAAAAAGGGGACGTTAATATAAAATGCAACGTCTTTTAGGGTACACACCTATCAGTATAAAATGTATTTTTAAGGATTCCGGGGTACAAAAGCTAAAAAAAATTAAGATATTTTTATTGCTACATAAATTATGCAATGATTCGTTTTCAAATTATAAAGAAAAAAATTGCGTTTTATGATTTTAAAATTACTGTTTTCTTGGTTTAATTTTTTTATATTGAATTTTTAGTTTAGCACGTTGCGCTCACTTTTAATTTGACGATC